TTTTTTTTTTTTTTTTGTAAAACTATGATTAATCACTTGTTTGTCTGTATATTTAGCCATCGATTGTAACAGGTTTACACCAATTTAGAAGAATTGATCCGATTGTTTGTGGTGATTGTTTCGTTTACATGAATAACATGATTTTTTTTTTAAACATAATTTTTTTTTTAAGAACCACAAATTAAAAGCCTACCAATAATGACATCCCAAAACAAAAACCAAAAATACAACTCTTATCTCTTATTTTTCTATACTTATTGGTAAATTAATTTTAAGATCAAGATTTAAGAGTCTACCATTAATCATGCTCTAAGTCGATCGGCAAATAAAATAGTAGTGTGTTTTTATTTAAAACGTCACTGATTTAATTATATGAAAATGACTTCAATTACATAACTAGACAATTTTTTGACATTTCACGTAAAAACAAGAAAAAAAAAGAGTGAGTATCAAACGTAACATATGAAATTATTTCACAAGAAGTAAAGTTATATTAACTCCGTTTTGATTTATGTTCTGTTTTAGCATGTAAAAATTAAATATAATTCATAATTTTTGACCAATCATATTATATATTATATTTTTTAATTGATTAAATTTGTTATATTTAATAATATTTTTACAAGAAACAGAAAAATGATATGTTTTTAATATGAATCTAACAACTTTAAACATAGCTTAAAAGACGAAAAGAGTAGGAATAAAACGCCATTAACTAATGATTAATCTCTCGTTAAACAATGTCAACTTTGACCGTGACATGTTCAATGTCGTATTCGAAATTTTATTTTCTAACACACAAAAAAGGAGGAACACACGGAAATTAGAGTATATATAAATAGAGGAAGCCGGTGAGAAAAAAACAGAAACATAACACTCACACACCTTTTATTAACACAATCTCTCATTTTCCCACCTCACATCTCTCAACTGCTTCATCTTCTTCATCACATTCACAACACAACTACTCTGATTTTGGTTTATCAATGACGCTGAGTTACTATTTAGCGGAGCATCCTACCATCGTTAACTTCCGTTGGAGTCCCACCCTATCATACGCCTCGACTTGGTCTTTCCTCTTCGCCGCCGTCTCCTCTTACGTCATCTCTGCCGTCACTCTCCATCTTCTCCTCCTCGTAATCCTCTCCCTCTGTCACCGCCGCCGCGGATTCTCCCTAGGTTTGATCCCAGCCCTGCACAGCTTGTCTATTTCCGTAATCTCAGCCGTCATCTTCGTCGGTATCCTCCTCTCGGCCGCTGCAGAGATCCGAGACACGCGTTGGCTATGGCGGCGTACGCGCACCACCGCTCTCCAATGGTTCCTCTGTTTTCCCGTAGGCACACGCGCTTCGGGGCGCGTCTTTTTTTGGTCTTACGTGTTTTACCTCTCTCGGTTCCTTCACTTGCTCCGCACCTTCTTCTCCGTGATACGACGTCGTAAGCTAAGCTTCTTCCAGCTTATTAACCAGTCTTCTCTCCTCTGTATCTCCTTCCTCTGGCTCGAATATTCCCAATCTTTTCAGGTAAAACAATAATCCGGTTCACCACACTTTAAACCGGAATTTAATCACCCAACCGAATGTATTCTAAATCGGACCGTGCTCCCGTGTGTTTCTTTTTGTTTTGTAATAGGTTGTAGCGATACTGTTGACGACCGTATCGTACGCCGTTGTGTACGGGTACAGATTCTGGACGGAGATTGGGTTACGCGGCGCGTGTTTCCCGTTCGTCGTTAACTGTCAAGCCATTCTGTTGGGGTGTATGACGGTTTGCCACGTAGGCGTTTTATGTATACACCTGGTCAAACGCGGCGGTTGTAACGGTATCGGTGCTTGGCTCTTTAACTCCGTTCTTAACGCTGTTATATCGTTGCTCTACTTGAAGTTTTATTGCAAGACGCGTTCCATGACCAAGGCTAAGCCCACCACCACCATATAAAAAGTATAAAAATTCCAATCATTTTTGTATTATTGATAATTTATATTATTCTCATTCGGAGAAACAAATCTGCTTCAGCCAAAATATACAGAATTGGAGCTCAGGTTTTTGTATTCTGTTGTTGTATGATGATTAGTGTTGTTACATAGGAATAGGATTCATTGTATAGTTGTTCCGATACTCTATAGATCAACAAAATAAATATAAATATCTTTTGGATTATAAAAGAGTAGCTTACTTTGATATTTTCAAGATTCGTCTCTTTTCTCAGGTTGCAAGGAAATGAAAAAGTCAGGTAACTTCGTAAGTATATTTGTTTCCTTTTTCATACCTAATCAAAGAGCCTAATAAGGAGTTAAGTCAAAGGAACACTTTTTATGAATTTACGTTTTGTCCTAATAACCCGAGAAACTGAGAAAGGACAAAGGTTTATCTGTACAACATTGTCGGAAATAATTAATCTTCGGCGTCCACTTGTTTCCGGTCTATAAGAACGCCTTCGTCCCAACTCTCAGAGTATCTGTCGAAAAAAGCCCAACAATTATGAACATAGAGGCTAAGAAACATGGGGTTGCTCTAATTTGTGACCAAGATACAGAGGAGAAGAGTTTTTGACGAGTCACTGACCTTGTTCCATCCACGTCTATACAGAGGAACTGCCCGTGCCGCCATCCATCTTTGAAATGTCCAAAGAATATCTCACCCGACTTCGAATAGAACCGGCCTTCGCCACTGGCTTTTCCTTTCCAGAAATTTGCAAACCATCGATCACCTTTGTGGAAATAAAACCACCCCTGCAAGATGAAATGAAAAAGTTGTGTCTGTCTGATCAGACATCTTTACGTCACAACAGAAACCATTTCTACAGTCACTTCTCATACCTAATTGATAGATAAGGGAAGTAGAAAAAGAGTTTTACTTGGTACTAGCTTGAAAAAGTCTTAGGGACTTGGTGATACTAAGCAGTTTGTGTACACGTGTAGTCTTAATAGACAATAAGCTAATCCAAATTCAAAAAGGTCATAGACTATATCACCTTTCCGTGTATTAAATCTTCTCTCCATGTGCCTTGGAATACGTCTCCATTCTTGAAGTAGAATGTTCCGAGACCAGATCTTTTACCGTTGTGCCACATTCCATCATATATGCTTCCATCTCCAAGTACCAGACGACCCTGGTGGAAATATCCAGCCATTACTTTCGGATGAACTAAGAAGACTGTCTCAAACATAAGACAAGGGTCCATTTATGAATTGGCTACAATGAACAAAGCCAACAAGGCGGATTACCTTTCCTTCGGGAAGACCTCCTTGGCACCTTCCCTTGAACAGTCCTCCTCTGTACTGCATCTCCAGAATAGGACTCCATCTTTTTGATGAATCTCGTTCAGCTTCCTAAATGATGAAGAATTAAAATGGAAAATTCTGTCAGTTGACATCAGACTTGGACGATGTTCAACAAGGTAATTAGTACATGAAAATGTTAACAGATGTACTATGATTGTGGCAGCAAGCTTAAATACAATATCATGGTAACAGACTGAACAAAGGGGACTGCTTTTGCTTCTCTATGCATTATTGTTCGAAAAAAGAAACCCACTTTACTAGTGAAAGGATGAATTTATTTATTAACCTCAAAGACAGCAACATTGCTACTTACCAGCATAGATGCTGCTCGAGCGGATAAATTCTTTTGCTTTGTAAAATCAGCATATTTCTCAGCTAGCAGGCCAGATGCAGTATCATTAGGTTCTTTAGTCGAGCCATCAGGGTTGAAAAATGATTCATCTCTCGAATCAGCCTTCCTCGAGGGTTGGCTGGCGACACTTAGACTACTGTTCAAATTCTTTGAATGTCTCACACCAACAGGAAGGTTGACAATACCCAGGCTAAGCACTGCAGTGTCTCCAGAATTAGCTGGCCATTTCTGCTCATTCTGATATCCCGGATCCATACTCCAATTAGCAATTGGCTCCCTCTGGATAGCACCATAATCTACAAAAAAGATGATTTACCATTCTTTAAAATTGTTTAGGCTTAGGAGGTCACTACTTCAGCATCCTGTAAATAACAAGTAACGAAGCATCTCGACCAATACTACATACAAAAATAAGCTGAAGAAAGTTGTCCTCAAATTGTGTACCTTCTATATTTTCATCTTCGAGCTCCAATCGACTGTCTATGGATGGTTCTCTCTCTTTTAATGGGTATTCACTATCACTGTTCTCAGAAACTTCGAGGAGGTCCTCAGAGTCGATTTCAAATCCTTTAACTTTCTGACTGGATCTTTTTAAGTCAGTAGGGTCTGCTGAATCTTTAATCGAAACTGGCACCTCTTTAAGTCCACTATTAGTTTCTCTTTGTAGCTGTGAACGATATCTCGTGAAGATATTTAAAACATAAGGAACAAGACCAGAAAAAATGTTGCCTTTGTTGGAAGTTTCCTCTTCTGAAGAACTGTGATGACATATGCGACTTGCATTAATGCATAAAAGTGGTCACGAGAAATAAAATCTGAGTCTTGACCAAAACTATTATAGAACTTAATAAAAAAAATTAATAATGCTGAGACCATATAATTACGTTTATATGTTGAATTTTAGCTAAAAATGGTACCATATGCATGAGCTTGAAATTGTAAGCTGTTATGAATACCCACCTTCTAATAAAAAACGTTGTGACACGCACTTTAGGCTCCAAATCAGGTTCATGAACAGTAGATACTATAATATCTCCAGTGTACTCCATTGTTTGACGAAAAGTACGAAGAATTGTTTTCACATCCTTCTTCTGGAGAGGCACCGAACTAGCCATAATGCATATAATAGCGTTTAGATCCTGCAGGTTAGAAAAAGCATGGTTGAGATGAAAGGTTGCTTAAATTTGAATACGTAATTTCATAAGAAAATAGTTTTAAGGAGCATATCTTTAGAGTAAAAATGCCAATATACACACAATCAAAAAAATTCAAACATCCTTGCTCCTTAGGGAGAGAGATGCTATCTTTTTTAACGGTTTTTTTATAGGTCACTATGTTTAGTTTTTTTATTCCCAAATCCCAGTTATCAGATAAATCCTCAAACTAATACTTTTATTATTAGACCAATCTACTTTATCTTTTTGGAAGAGGGAAACAACTCAACAAAGAGTGTACAGGAGGAGAAAATAATCAAGCCAAGCACTTAAGTAGGACGGATGAATCTTCTATGCGATGCTCTTCAAGAGATTAGAAATACCTTTATACCAGGACGAAAGAATGGGGAGTCATATATAGCTCGTAAAATCGAAGTCTTAAGGTTGTGGCCAACTCCAAAACCAACCTTTGCCTCTTTGTAGCTTTCTAGAATCTGGACATAAGAGAGTTGAAGGATTGAAGAAATCTCAAGAACAGGAATGACTATATCACTAAAACCAAAAGAAAATTTTCCAAGAAAGTTACCGTTGTAACTTCTGAACTTTCCAGTTCTTTAATATCTTTATCCATCACGCCAATGAAGTTTCCATGTATCCCCTGAATAAACCCATATACAAAAATGACAAAAAAAAGAGAGTATTCTGTGAAAGACAGCTGCAGCAGGAAAAGGAACCTTACACTTATCAGAGCGGAAGCTGCATTTATTGCCATGGAAACAGCATTGTTTGCATTTCTCAGTGCCTCGTCCAAAGTTACCAAATCCTTCTGTAGTAAAACCTCTATGTCGATATCTAAAAAGCCCAAATCAAAGTCAGTTCATGGTCAGCAGAACTACTAAAACAAAAGGCAGTTATTCTTACACTATTGTGTCAGAAAAATCTTTCATAATACGAATAATAGTACCTATACAGAAATTGGTGTGTTGCTGCAGTTTTCTAGCCAATTCGTTAACCTGCACACAACCTGGGAAATTAGAAAAAAGGGAAAAGACTACAACTAAAGATACAAAATGTAGGTTTGCAGATAGGGATGCCATTTTCTGGACTGTTTTTAGTTTGTTATATGAAATAGTATACAATATAAGATTGTTGACAGGACATGGCGATGATGGAAAATTGGGAAGGTGCACTGTTGGAAACACATGAAGCCACTCGAAAATTCTCCACCTATTTTTCTTCTCTATCAATTCAGGTATAAAAGTTCTACTAACAGCTCCAGGAAAACCGTCCAAACGAAACGACATAACTAACTACTTTTTGAAGTGACAATCCTATAATCAAGACTTTGCGACAGTAAAAGCAGCTAAAAAAGATGTCTCAGAAAAGGAATTGATAGAAAATAAAACTAGGTAGCGAACTTCCAAATGGGCTCTCTTGAGACATACCAAACAAGTACAACTTTAAAAGCAACTAAAAACTACCTCTTCTAGACGCTTTCGGCCTTCAAAGCTGAAAGGCTTTAACAGCACAGCAACAGCTAAGTTACCACCAGATCTTACTGCAGCAAGAATATTCATAGCTTCAACCTGATCAGAACCATATCCAGCACTAGCCACCTGGCAAGGGGAATAGTTTAACCAGAATCAGATGTTTGGCCGTTACTGTTCCGCGAAATTAAAATTTTGGAAAACTTGAAAACCATTAGCAGATTCATTAAGAGAATATGGAAACTTAGGAAGCATGGTTGTTAATGATCAATTCATACTGTGTATCTTGTTCAGTTATAAAAAAGGATAGAGTCCTACAAGTAATTCTACTAACGCAACTGTAAAACAGAACACAAAACAATGATAGGTAGAAAAGTACAAACAAGGATGAAGGCCCTTGGACGTGATTGTATCAGCTGAATTGAATTCATGGTCTTGGAAAAATTATCTGTAAACATAAACAGAGAAGCGATAGGTAAGAAAGGTAGCATATCCTTATTATCTTCTTGAACAGCCAGCTGTATATATATGCTAATAGAAGAAACACAGTAAGGCAGAAGAGCTAACTAAACTAAGATTTTTAGTGTAAGAAATAGATTATGAACCTTCTTGATTGGACCGCTGCTGTAACACTAAATCTCCAGAGCTGTCTTTGCTAATACTCCTGAAAAAAGTAGCGATGCCAGTTAAAAATTTGGTGAATTTCATGAATACACAGAACGTAGATAATCCATTCAAGCCATAAGCTTCATCAGTAGAAGGCAGCAACAAGAAACCATCAGGATTTCGGAAATTAGAGTAAAAACGCAAAGTGGGATTCTTTGTTGTAGTAGATAAAACAGAATCAAGTATATACCAAAAGCGGAGAGGAAGAGAAGGAAAAGGAGAATCCAAGCAAGAATTTATGATAGACTCCTTGCGACTACCGATGACAACGACCTCAATGAACTCAGCTCCATGCTCATCTCTCTCGCACGTCTCCACACGAGCCGAATCCCTCACCAAGCATGTCACACAAACCCGACGCGCCTTTCGAGCCGTACATTTCAATCGCGCCGTAGCGCCATGGGACGAAAACGGAATGCCAAAAGCAGGAACGAGAGCTAAACGAGAGAACAATGGTACTCGGAGAGTGGAGAAAACAGGAAGCTCCATAGAAAGCTGCATAGCTCCGCTCCCACGGATTCACTTATTATTACAATACACGAACAAATCGGGTCACATGAATAGATAGATGATGAGATTCAGACGAAGGTTAAGATCGGAGCAGAGCATGTCTGAGGTTCTCCCGATAACTCTGAAGAAGAAGAAGAAGAGTGACAAAAAAAATATCCAGCGCCGGCACCGTGAATTTGCTAATTGTCATCAAATCCTCATGTTTACTACTAATTGATGTTTTAGCCTCGTATTATACTATTTTCCAATATGAACCCCCTACTTTTTTTTGGTTAGAATGGACCCCTAGTTTTTAAGTTGACGAATCGTTAGCGAATATTACTTTTGAAACGATGAACTACATCCTCATATTTTGGTCTGATATAACTTTTAACATAGTATACTTTTTTGGTCAATGATCTCTTCATAATCAAATCTTCCCTTATACTAATAGAGAAAGAAATATCTTTTAGTCTACTAAATTAATGAGTCCAATATATTTTACCAGATGACAGTTCTTTATCAACCACTAGAAAAAAAACAATTAGAGAAAAATACGACTCTTTTTGGTATATTGTTTAAAAAGAACATACGACTTGAAAAATCAAATCTAAAAAACACATTCTTTCAAACCAGGATACACGATTTTTTCTTCAGCATTATGTGTGTGTTTTTTTTTTGCCAAGGCATGTATGTTTAATTAAGCACATATCTTATAGAGGAAAATAAATAATAATATATTTTATATTAAAAAAATATGGTCCCTCATATAAAAGAAGAACTTCAGATCCAAAATTTAGAGAAAAAAAATCCAGCGATATATCGTACTAATTAAATGTAAAAAAAAAAAACTATAAAAATCAATAAAAGCTTGATTTTATTATTGTTTGTTTGGTACAACAAATAATAATAATAAAGTGAGAAAGTATAATTAATAGAGTTTGCTTCACGTTTGAGTTTACAAAGTGTAACGAGACGTCAGGAGAATTTGTATCGGGTCGCAAGTGTCACCTTAGTGGATTTTGTCTTGGCTTTGTAGCTTTTGACCTTTTCGCAGCCAGCGAATCACATCGCTACGTTACAGTGCACCTAGTCGTCTCTGATCACCCCCACAGTCTCAAATATTAGATCCGACCCGGGACGGACATTTCTCTGAAGCTTCGTTTTTGAGAGATTCGTATTCCTCCTCTGTTCCATATGATTTAACAATTATCCTCTTTGTCCTTCGCCAACTTCTTCCGCTCTTCAAACTTCATCCAGGTACCATTATCTCTCTCTCCTCGAGTTCCCTCCTCGTGGGCTTTCAGATTGTTCTTGTATTATTTTTCTCGAAAGATACTGTGAGAAGTGTTTCTCTTGCTCTGTCTCTTTTGATATCTCATATCACGTGGGATCTGAATTTTTAGTCGCGGTGTTGACAAGTTTTGCCCAATTTGGATATGTTTTTTATCCGTGGTTTCTGCGTGTTTGTTTTGGAATATTGGTGATTATAGTAGTCAATTGGATTCGGAATTATGAAGCTTTAGATACTAACTATCTAAGAATCTTCATCTTTATTCGCTTCTAATCCTCCACTGAGTTCATTAGATACCCAATTCTCGGTTCATAATTGCTTTTAGAGGTTAATTTATGTTCCTGAGATTCGAATTTGCAAACAAAACTATTCCTTTTTGTAAGTTTTATACAAATGGAGAAAATTTGGTTTTTTTTATTTATATATATATTATATATTCAAGGATGTGCTGGTTAGGGATCTCTTATCCCTATGTCTTCTGGGTCGTTGTTAGATATATTGTTTAGTTCTAAACTTCTTTTATACATGATTGTTGGGGAAGGATCTATTATGTGGGTCACAGTTATGAAAGACATGAGAGCTCAGCTCTTGCGTTTATTTTAGAATTTAGATTCTGGTTCTACTCAACTTGCATGTTTAGGCTCTTACATTGTTTTTCTAGTCTCTTGTCTGCAATTTTATGCTTGTCTTTACCCAAAACAAAAAAAAAACTCAAACTTTGTGGGGGAACTTAAGGTGGCACTGAGTAATATTTGATTCTCATTGCTGCAGTTTGTCTTGAGGTTTATCTGGAAAAATAAAGATGGAAGTTTGCGGGCATCTGAATCCTGATAACTTAAAGAACCGTCCCTTGACTCCGATTAGGATTCTGAGGGGTCTGATGATCCTACTGGTCTTTCTGTCTACTGCTTTTATGTTCCTGCTCTACTTTTCACCAGTAGCTGCTCTAGGGCTACGGCTTCTGAGTGTGCATCAATCTAGGAGAGTTATCTCGTTAATCTTTGGTCTCTGGCTAGCTTTGTGGCCTTACCTGTTTGAAACGGTTAACGGGACAACTGTGGTGTTCTCTGGTGACAGCATTCCGGGTGAGAAACGTGTTTTGCTTATTGCAAATCACAGAACAGAGGTGGATTGGATGTATGTGTGGAACATTGCGTTGAGAAAAGGGTGTCTTGGCTACATCAAATACGTTCTTAAGAGCAGCTTGATGAGATTGCCTATTTTTGGCTGGGGTTTTCATGTTTTGGAGTTTATACCCGTGGAGAGGAAGCGGGAGGTCGATGAACCTGTTTTGCTTCAAATGCTTTCATCTTTTAAGGATCCTCATGAACCCTTATGGCTTGCTCTATTCCCAGAAGGAACCGATTTCACGTATGATATGCTTCCTATCTAATTTTACATATGAACCAACATAACAATCAAGTTGCAACGTATGTTTAACTGCTCTAGATATATAATCTAATTCGTAATTAATCTGTATCCTTGAAAGTAACGTATGGTGTTTTCTTGGTAGGATATTTAAAACCACTGAACATCTGTCTTGCAAAATATGATAGTAACCCTCATTTCCAGGAATTGCCTGCTAATGCATGAATGTGTGAACTGCTGCTCATGATCTATCTTCTTTCATTTTTCTGAGACCTTCCTTACTTTGATATGCAGTGAAGAGAAATGCAAGAGAAGCCAAAAATTTGCAGCAGAAGTTGGTCTTCCAGCATTATCAAACGTACTTTTACCAAAAACAAGGGGTTTTGGCGTCTGCTTAGAAGTTCTTCATAACTCATTGGATGCAGGTATGGTCCACGAAATTTATGATCAAATGGTCGTGTATGTTCCCTTGTATATAGTAGTATCTCAAGCCACATGTTATGCCAACATTTATTGTTTTGATGACATTATGATGCCATGCATATTTTCTATGTTTCCAATGATCCCATGTGGGACCTCATGACCATAAGCAACTGAACAAGGCATTGTTGTTTTTATACTCAATATCTTGCGCTGTTCTTACGTCATCTTTTTGAAATGCAGTATATGATTTGACTATCGCATATAAGCCTCGCTGCCCATCTTTCATGGACAATGTATTTGGGACGGATCCTTCAGAAGTTCACATCCACGTTCGGCGAATTCCACTGAAGGAAATTCCAGATAACGAGGCAGAATCTTCTGCTTGGTTAATGGATTCATTTCAGTTAAAGGACAAACTGCTATCCGATTTCAATGCTCAGGGACAATTTCCCAATCAAAGACCAGGAGAAGAACTCTCTCTTCTGAAGTGCATCGCAACTTTTGCAGTGGTAATATCTTTGACAGTACTATTCATTTATCTGACCTTGTATTCACATAGCTGTTTCAAAGTATATGCTGGTCTAAGCGGCACATATTTATCGTTTGCTACTTATTACAAGTTCCGACCCTCACCTGGCTGTTTTAGAGAAGATACTTGTAAAGTAAAGAACCAGTAACTTTGTTGTACATACAATTCTTTCTTTGTATACAAAGAAATAATATCAAGAATTTACAGGCAGAAAAGATTTTTGGGATGCTTATTTCATTGTTAGTTCTTCGAGATATACCGTTACCTATCATTTGTATTCTATGTTGTAAGGAAAAGTTGACACTATGTTGGAACTGTGAAACCCTTGTGTTCATTGATTTGGAAACAACAACAAGGTCACTAAACCTTATTGTCAAAAGGTGTTGTTACTTCTGATTCAGCCAGTAAAGGAAGTTTCCATCTGAACAAAAACTTGTCGGTGATGGACAAAGCATAAAACCCACTTTGTCCCAAAAGGTTGTTTGCCTTCTTTTTGCAGGTGATGAGAGAAAGAGAGAGAAGACTGTTGCTCGGGCTCTTTAACTTAAACATTGGGATCAGCTTTAGAGGTAGAGCATAGCATCTCCTGTTTTCTTTATGTGCCGTTGCTTGTACACATGCCATCTTATCTCCTAATATGAGCAGGTGCAAGTGAGGTCAGGTTAGTTTTGACCAAACCAACATTGATGATCTTTCTTTGCTTTTTTGGTTGGGAAAGATTTGAGAAACACAAAACCAAACCAAACTACATGTCTATAGATACATTTACAGATTTACTCTTAGGGTGTATATTTGATTAACATCAATGAGAGGTAGAATTGTAATTCTAAACCTAAACACATAAAAGACACATATAGAAGAAATCCAGTCAATTAAATAATTTATAATTGTACCAAGTAACATCATCTTTCGTATGACGCATATACAACTTATTAAAGGCATCAAGGCAAACAAAATTCACAGTGCCAAAGAAGATGGGATTAAAAACAACAGGCACAAAGATTTTTGTTCCCTTGTTAACTTTTTTTGTTTTTTTGTGTGTAAAACTACCAAAATTTTCCTAACCCTGCCTCTTACAAGCTCTTATATAAATAGAGGAACGGTGCCAAAGAGTCATCATCATCACTTTCATCGTTATCCGTATCATAAAAAACACAAATACTTTATAAAAAAAATGGCGAAAATCTTCAGTTTTCACATTCTCTTCTTCGTGTTCATCACAAGTAACAACATCAAAACACACTCTGTTTTTTGTTTCTTCTCTGTTTCACTTATGTCTTAATATCTTCTTTTCGCTATTACATCCTACACTTACATCATCATCTCTCTGTTTCGTATAATTCCAAATGAAAACAATTCTAAAACTGTTTCTCAACATTTACTTCCTCATCATCATCGTCGATTGCACTATAATTCTCAGACAATAGTTTGTCTTTTGATAGTTAACATTCTTAATTCTTTTGGTTTTGTGTTTTGAAATTGCAGGCGGTATTGTTGTTTCCGCCACCGTCTTCACTTTTCAAAACAGTTGCCCTTACACCGTCTGGCCCGGAACACTCTCCGGCAACAGCATCACCCTCGGCGACGGTGGTTTTCAACTGGCTCCAGGTGCTTCCGTACAGCTCACGGCTCCTGTGGGATGGTCAGGCCGGTTCTGGGCTCGTACCGGCTGCAACTTCGACGCCTCCGGCCACGGTACCTGTGTCACCGGAGATTGCGGCGGCGTTCTTAAATGTATCGGCGGCGGAGTTCCTCCGGCGACTTTGGCCGAATTCACCGTCGGATCAAACAATGCCGGCATGGATTTTTACGACGTGAGCCTAGTCGACGGTTACAATGTCAAGATGGGGATTAAACCTCAGGGAGGATTCGGAAACTGCAAGTACGCAGGCTGCGTCTCCGACATCAACGAGATTTGCCCTAGCGAGCTTCAGATCGTGGATCCGGGTTCTGGAAGCATCGCGGCGTGTAAGAGCGCCTGCGCGGCGTTTAGTTCGCCGGAATTTTGCTGTACCGGAGCTCACTCGACGCCGCAAACTTGTTCTCCGACGTATTACTCGACGATGTTCAAGAACGCTTGCCCTAGCGCTTACAGTTACGCTTACGACGACGCTTCGAGCACTTTCACTTGTACCGGGTCTAACTACTTGATCACTTTCTGCCCTAACCAGTCCTAAACCGAAGTTCCGGTTTAAATTTAGGTCGGGTTTCTCTCTCTGTCTCTCACGTTTCTTTTGCTTGTTATGTACGGAAAGGGGAATAAATAAAGATGATTAAGAAGAAAGGTGATGACTATAAATCATCTCTTCCATTTTCAAGTATTTTGTTGTTACACACGCTTTGACTCATTTGCATTGTTGCTTTGATTAGAAACATGTATATACTACATCATATGATCCTAACATATCAATATCTGAATAACTAAAGATAGATGGATGCTTAAATATTAAAGATTAGAGGGTTTCTTTGTTTCAGGTCATTTGTTCTTGATGTACTTTACTTAAATGAGTGCGATAGTAAATTTTAGTTCTCCAAAAAGAGACATAGCTGACGACTTTTTTAAGCCACGGAATGGTACTTTAAACATGTGAACCCTTGGTGACCAAAAAAAAAAAACATGTGAACCCCCTAGCAGATTCCATAAAGTCTATAAGACGGTTTGTTAGTTATGTTAAGGAGATTGAGCTGATGATGCAGTCAAGATCAGTACTGTTTCTGGCTTCTTTAAGTTTCCAATTGCAAGGCTTCTTCATTCCTGTTGCAGCCTAAACGAATCCTACAATAACCCTGCAGAGCTCATCAACACAAATGGCATCTATTTTGTATATATTGATAAACCAGTAATGCTGCTCTTAATTAATCTTATGTCTGTGACCTCCCTTATTTGATATTTCAGTGAAGAAAAAATGCAAGATAAGTGCAGCTGAAGTTAATTGGTCTTTCCCCTAGCATTATGTTCTACGTAAATCTTAGGACGCATAAATGGTTCATGCAAATTTGATGAAAATGTTTGTGAATGTTCACTTACATATCCTCTGAAAGCACTTACAGTTTTGATGACACTTTAATAGCTTGCGAGTACAAGTAAAGGAGCTAGATTCCAGCGAACGAGGCAGAGTGTTCTGCTTGGTTAATAAATTCATTTCAGTTGAAGTACAAACTGCTATAATATTTCAATGCTCATGGTTTTTCAGGGACTCCCCCGACAATTAATCATCGTCTATATTCTGAAGCTGCAGGTCGCAACTTTGGCAATGGTAATATATTTGACAATACTATTCATCTATCTCACCTTTGTATTCGCATATATATGTTTCAAAGTACAGTATATGCTTGTCTAAGCGGCACATATTTATCTTTTGCTAGTTTATACAAGTTCTGACCCTCACCATCTACACTGGTTTGATTAGTCTTTTAGAGGATATTTTAGTAAACAAGTAAATAAACCAATAAGTACTCTGTTGTACGTACATACGTCAAGACTATACAGGGAGAAAATATTCCTGATCAGTTGCCTCTTTCATCATTAGTTCTTGAATATTAGAGATTCTATAGTTACTTATTAAGTGCATTCCAATGTTTCTCTCTTGAAACTCACATATATATTCATTTGACTTGCAAATGCCACTGTTGGCATATCTATGTATTCTTCCTAATAACTTTCATCTACCCCTGTGTGTCACTGAATTAGAAACTGCATAAAGTCATTGAACGTCACACTATTTCGATATTTTTTAAACATGAGTGAAGTAGTTACGATTAAGAATCGTTTTCAAAGAGAAAACGAATCTTCAATAAAAAAAACATAAGGTTTGAATTGCTGGAAAAAAAAAATACTTATATAGTTGGTCTTAGCCACACGGCAGCTGGTTTTATGACTAATCAACAACGTCGGCCCATAAGGTGAAGGGATCAAAGCAACACTCGTCATAGTCACGGCATGATTCAATTAAGAGCCAAAACTTATGAACCTGTTTGTAGGTCTTAATTAGCCAGTCTTCCATTTCATCGCTTAGGCGGATGTATTAATTAACAAAGGCATTGGGCAAGAGGTTCAATCCAATACGTTGATATCCAATCTGGGAATTAATGTCTCCAACTTATAAGTTGTATGAGTTAGTTGACTACGTGCGTATTGTATGTTGGGCCTAGCCGGCCGACTCATAACTTACTTGGTCGGCAAATCTTCTCTAGGGTTTTGGAATTAGATATAAAAATACGTTTGTACGTACGTATTGTAAAGCTATTCTTGTAAGAATTAATACCAAATCAATATATACATTAATATCATTCTATTTCTACAAGAATGAGAATGAGAGAGGAAATGAAGGCATAATCAACGTTTGGATAAACAGTGACGGAGTAATTGTCCTTTCCCAAGAAAACGCTCTGCAACGTCTCCTTCTCGTGCATCTGCATCCCATTCAAACCAAAGTTACCATTTTTATTCCTCAAATTTAACTATGAATAAAATATTGGCAAACTCGCAGTTCATTATATATATAGTATAGTATAGACATGTTTATTCCAGATCGATGTTCATTCTAAATAAACTACGGTATATAAACATGTCGATGCGTGCATGTAAAATCTCGTCTTTCCTAAGACCAAAAGTGAGATTGGATATATAGGATCAATTGATGAAGAGGATGGGAAGGAAGGAAAGAGAGTTATTTAGTTTTACTTGGGCCACAATGGCGTCAGATTCACCGGCGTAGACAACACAAGAACGCTCGCTCCAGGTCCCTTTGACTCTGAAATCACATTTCCTCTCCTCTTTGTTGTGAGCCAAAAACACATCAAGTTTGGCCCTTAGCTGAATCATCGACGATCTTTTCACCGTGTATAGCAGATCACCCGGGGCCGTACTCCCTCCTCTAAACACTTGCCACCTGTCATGCATGCTCACTATCTGTACGTACGTAATCACCAAAGTCTCTTAATTATTATTAATAAATATCAAAGCCATGCCTAGCTAGCTCCATCTGTTTTGAATTAATATGTATAAGTGACGTTGTTGTACGTACCTTCCCTTTCAAAGTCATGATCTGAGCTCCAGAACCATCCAGCAAGATCCTCTTGTCGTGAAGACTAAAGAAGGGGTCCTTCACCTTGAACAACAGGCATCCGTTGAAATTCGTTATCACGAAGTTACCGTGAGTTACCTTCATCAACTTCCGCACGATCGCCAGATCTACAGGGTGCGGAGAACAGTACTTTGGATCCACTATCACTCCAGTATGTGGAAGGGGATGGGGATGACCCGAAGCGCCAGCTCCTTGTGGGTAAGCGTACACATAGGGCTGCTGCATTCTTTTCTTTTCCTTCCTCACACTCTCTCTCTATTTTGTTTCGCTTTGCTTTGAAATTTTTTTATCGGTTATGCATGCTGTGAAGATAGGTTTAAGGTTCTGTTCTTATATAATTTTATAAAATAATATCGGGATATAGAATATGTTGACTTAAAAAGAGTTTTAAGTCTACGAGTATAAACTTCTTGTATAGATATATTTGTTTCTTTTGTTTCAAAAATATTTCAATATTAGTCTAATTAAGGTTCTAATAATTCTAAGATTTCCTTGAAGAATTGTCAACTATCTTTTTAGCACGGTTCCGAGAAAAATCTAACGATGTTTTATGTAATATATCTTAAAAATCTAACAAAGAATTGTCAAATATCATTTTAGCACGATTTCCCTAATCATATTTTTAAGTTTTTTTAAAAAACATATTAAAAATTTGATTATAAATGTAGTATTTTATATGATTAACAATTTTCTACAACTTTAAATCAATATTACTTATTTATTTTTATTTTAAAATATATGATTCATTATTAATAAACAAATAAAGATGCATAAAAGCCTAAAATATGGATTTTGTGAAAAAAAGAGATTAAGAATTGAATAGAATATGGATTAAAATTTTAAAATATTAAAGAGCATGCATGAGAGGGGAACAGCAATCGCACCTTCAAACGGGAATAGATCATGCAGGGCCGCATCAACACCGTGTGGACAATGTAACTCTTAGTGAAGAGACAAGTTTAGAATTATGGTTAGTAAACATCGAGTCATTAATGAAAGGGCCCTTAGTTATATATTTATATATATGCAGTATGCATACACAAATTCAAACACGTACGTCAACTTTTAATTGAGCCATTTATGATGAACTGGATTTTATATGTTTAAGTCATGAGTCTTCTCACTTGTGAACAAATTAAAAACAAAGAAGATAAAAATCAGTCTTCTCACCTCTTATTTTCAATGTCTCTTTCAAGATTAGTCAATACTATACTACATTACTACTTCTGAGTCTATTCACGAATATACGAATTTTACGCTTCCACACTAAACTAAATGATAAAACTGTCTTCTTCTTTTTTTTTTTTTTTGGTGTGCGCGCGCAAAACATACTTAATTTATCACAATGCAAAGCCATTAAACGATTACTTCTATGGTTGGGCCTTAGTTAGACCCATTAAACAATTCCTTTCTTCTGTTGGACCTTAACTTAACCAGTGAGGCCCACTCCATCTCTATCCTGAAAACACATCATCTTCTTTTGTTTCAACCAGTGAATCTTTTTTCAGGAATTTCCTTGCTAACTAGTAATGCATGGATGCGGCTCTTTTTTTTTGCTAAAATGCAAATATCATATATATGAAAAGTTTGGTTTTGCAACCATTACAACATGGATGCGGCTCTTTGTCTTATTTTGTTTTCATATTTTTTGAGACCTGCCTTATCTTGATATGAAATGAAGAAACATGTACGAGAACGCAGTTAAAGATTAATGCAGCTGAAGTAAGTCTTAGCATTATCAGACGTACTTCTACCATAAACAAGGGGTTGTGACGTTTTCTTAGAAGTTCCACATAACTCTTTAAATACAGGTTCAGGAAAATGTTTCTGTATATATAGTGCCACATTTTCTACAAACATTTATGGTTTTGACGACATTATGATATGGCAGCATGTATATCTTATATATGTCCAGTTATTTTGGTGTATAGGGAAATTCCCCAATGAAGAAGACCTCTCTGTTTTGACTTCTGAAGTGCATCGCAACTTTTGCAATATGGTAACATTTTTTACAGCACTGTTCTTTTATCTCATTATCCGACTTTGTATTGACATAGCTATTTCAATGTATATGCTGGTCTAAGCTCCACGTATTTATCATTTTGCTACTTTAGCTTAACCATCTATTGTGTGTTTTTTAAAGAAGATTCTAGTAAAGAAGTTAAGAAATTAAATCTGTTGTAAATACAAATTCTTTCTTTGCATAAGAAAAAAAAATATCAAGAATTTACAAGCACAAAGATCTCTGGGCTGCCTCTTTCGTCGTTAGTTTAGTCCTTTGAGATTCTAAAGTTAAAAAAAAGTGTATTCCATATTGTTGCTCTCTGGAAACTTGGTATATTGGAACTCTTGCGTTCGATCGTTTAGTTAGAAACAACAACAGGTCACACTAACCCTGATTGTCAAAAAGGTGTTCAAACTTCTGATTCAGTCGGTAAAGGAAGTTTTTATTTAAAGGAACTTTGTCAGGTGATCAACAAAAGCATACAATCCAATTTGCCCCATAAGGATTCTGACCTTCTTTTTGTAGGTGATAAGAGAGAGAAATAGATAGAAGACCGTTGCTCGCCGCTCTTTATCTGCTAGCTAAGTTGTATCATTTGATTCTCTCGTAGAGAGCATAGCATCTCCTGCTTTCTGTACATTTTTTTGTTCCTTCATACATATGTCATCTACTCATTTATCTCCTTATCTGAATAGGTAGGTAAAAGTGAAATCAGATTAGTTTTTGACAGAGCCGACTTTGAACTTTATTTTAACTTTGTGGAAAGACTTGACAATCGCAAATCTAACAATGTCTATGGATACATCCAATTTGACTGTCATTATTATTACGATATGGAAATATACCAAGAATATCTTGAAATACCACCCTAGTTTACATTTCCTTGTGTATTTATATCCTTTTGTAATGAAAGGTAAATAAGACCATTAATAATTAGTTGTATACCAGGTTTTAGATTTTTCACGATGTAGGCCTCTTAGCATATGTATATTATTCAATCATAAGCATAAAATCTGTAATAAGCTTTGCTCAAAGATTTTTACGCAGTATTAGAGCCAAGTTTGTTAACTCAAGTGATTAAGATGGTCGAAAATAGATTTTACCCTCGATACTAATGGAATTTGGTTAATTAGTAGAAATGGACTGATAAAAACCATTATATTATGTCAAAAAAAAAAAAAAAAACCATTATATGATCTAGGATGTGTATTAGAATCTCAACATTCAAAATTGGATGGAGTTAAAGTAACCAAGTAACATATCTATAAGAGACATGTTTATATCATACTCAAGAGACAAGTAACCAAATAAAATCTTACAACTATTAATGTTTAATTCAAGCTACTAGCTACCACAACCGCATAAAATCAATTCGAAACCGTGTGGACCAATGTTCGATGTATTTCTTAAGTAGTAAGAAGAGTCCATCACTAGCTCTTAATTTGTCTCTTTCAGCTGATTTCTGAATATTTTCCGCAGACGCCGAAGATCGTAAGTATATCCGAGAAAAATACAAAACCAATTTATGTATTTCTTGGAAAAAGACATAATCTTGTGCTGGAAGAAAAAGCCGTCGTTGATCTTAGCCACACGGCAGGTTTTATGCCTAACAACGTTGACTCACTCACTAATTAATGAAAGGGTTCAAAATTCAATCAATGCAGCTCCCTCGAGTCACGGCAAGATTTTAATCAAAAGCCAATACTTACTATTTCCTCGGACCAAAACAAGTTGGTTCGATTTGTGAACCTATTTCTAAGTCTGAGTCTTAAGTCAGTCTTCTCAACTCGTAAACTTCAAGGTCTCCCGTTATACTATATAGTGATCCCTAGCTTTCATCGTTTTATTATCACTTGAATTTTATTTTTTATCAAAAATGTCCTTTTTGTATAGTTTTTCTTTAAACGAGTTAAGTTCTAGTTTAATACTATTTTTAAAAATATAAAATATTATGCAGAATATTGTTAAAATATTTTTAAAAGAATAATTAGTGCACAAAAAAAGATTATGCAGAATATTGTTAATCTGTGTAGAAAACTCCAAAGTAACACTTTTAAACTTATGAAATTAATATTTTAAAACCCGTTTCAAAGAAAACTCTCTCAGCAAAAGTTTTTTTGGTGAAACATAGAATGAATATAGAATTCAGAAAAATTAACAAAAATAAAAGAAAACTAAAAAAAAAATCTACTAGCGAAAAATAGAATGAATATAAAATTCAGAAAAGATAGGAAAGATGGAAGTGATGGCTGGTGGTCTAATGAAAGATGGTTTTTCACGTGCTGAAAAATCGTGGCTTGTTGTTTTCTAAACGGAACTTGTTAAAAAAAATGGTTTGATCTCAAGATGAGTTACCGTGTGTCGTCATGTATTGATGTCTTAGCCATGTCTTTTGCGTGTCTCCTGTGCTCATATGATATCCTTGCCTAGCACACTTTTCTTGGGTTCAAATTCCAGATGGCTCGTGGCTGATATGATCTAAGACTTTAAGATTCGACTGATGCATGGTACGTTCAAGTTGCAAACCCCCTCTTATATGTGCATCTATTCATCGGATCTTAATGTCTTATATGTGTATCACCTATTCGGGTGTAATAGTACTCATGCATGGATCACAATATATAAACACACATCTATCTGGATCTAAGATTTTTAAATCACAACAAAACATGTCTATATGCATGGATATGATCTCATATTCGGAGATCACAATTAAGACACATCTATTTGGGTCTCATTCTCGCGGATCACACTGAACCCTAGGGCTTAAATAGTGTGCATCGGCCCTGGCTGAGTCAAAACCAAGTTAGGATTTCTCAATGTTTTTTTCACCAGCTTGTAATAAATTAATTAATGGAATAACAATTAAGGCAAAGAAAATTCAGAGAGGAGAAAATTCAGAGAACCAAAAGAAAATATCTATAAAGAAAACAAAAAGAAACTAATTGATTTAATTAAAATTAATAACATTACATCCTTACCCTTCGATGGCTCGAACCCACATCTATAAATAGAGACGATGGGTGCCATAAGCATTCATCATTCACAGCACAGAAACACAACACAATACGATAAAGAAAATGGCCAATATCTCAAGTTTTAACATTCTCTTCCTCGTGTTCATCACAAGTAACCCACTCTAGCTATTCTCTTGTTTCTTCTATATTTCACTTATGTGTTATCTTTCTCCTTACGTTATTACATTCTTCACATGTTTTCTTTTCAAGGAGAATATATAGTTTTTATACTGTGTCTTAAGTTTTCTTTTATGAATTGTTTTATTTGTTCATCGTCTTCGATCACAACATATTTTCACCATAAATTCTCTAAAACTGTTTCGTAGTTTTGATGTTTTGGTTTTGTGTTTTAAAACTGCAGGCGGCATTGCTGTTTCGGCCACTGTCTTCACCATTAAGAACAATTGCCCTACCACCGTCTGGGCCGGAACTCTCGCCGGCAGAGGACCCAAGCTCGGTGACGGCGGGTTTCAACTGACTCCAGGTGCTTCCCGACAGCTCACGGCTCCAGCAGGATGGTCAGGCCGGTTCTGGGCTCGTACCGGCTGCAGCTTTGACGGTGCCGGCAACGGTAGATGCGTCACTGGAGACTGTGGCGGTCTAAGATGTAGCGGAGGCGGAGTTCCTCCAGTCAGTCTGGCTGAATTTACCCTTGTTGGCGATGGCGGCAAGGACTTCTACGACGTGAGCCTTGTCGACGGTTACAATGTTAAGATAGGGATAAGGCCTTCAGGAGGATCCGGAGATTGTAGGTACGCAGGTTGTGTTGCTGACCTCAACGCGAATTGCCCTAACGATCTTAAGGTCATGGGTCCTCAGAACAATGTCGTGGCGTGCAAGAGCGCCTGTGCACGGTTTAACACTGATCAGTATTGTTGCCGTGGAGCTTTCAACACTCCCAAAACTTGTCCTCCTACAGACTACTCGAGGATTTTTAAGAACGCTTGCCCTGACGCCTATAGCTACGCTTATGACGATGAAACCAGCACCTTCACATGTACCGGAGCTAACTACGAAGTCGCTTTCTGTCCATAAAAAGATTTGGGCCTGGTTTCTCCCCCTCGCGTTTCTATTAATATTGCTTGTTATGTACGGAAAGATAAATAAGGAAAGATGATGACTATGAATCATCATCTTCTTCCACCTTTTTAAAGCTTTTACTAAATTATTCAGTTGTTACATTATCAACTGATTTGCTTACTAAAAAGAAATAAGACAAAGGATTAATATTTACTTATTTGATCCCTATACAGTCCCTTATTAATATACATAGATGCTCTTCTCTTGAAACTCACATTTTTTATTTAGTTAATCAAAAGGTGTTCTAACGTTTAGTTCTGTCCGTAAAGGAAGTTTCCATCTTAACCAAACTTAATTTGTCGGTGATCGACAAAGCATACATAGAACCCACTTGTGTCCCAAAAGGATGCTTACTGTCTTTTCGGTCGAGAGAGATAGAAATACCATTTGCTCGTAGAGCATATAACATTTGTCTCCTGTGTTTCTCACACATTGTTTTGTTTATTTCCATGTTATCTAATCGATCGTAATCTGAGTAGGTGCAAGTGAGTTCATGTTCAAACCAACTTTGATTTGTCTTTACCATTTGGGAAAGGCTTATAGAAAACCCAAAATACATTTTTATTGCCAATATAATTCATCAACCTGGCCACTTAAAAAGAAACCTTACAAAAGTTAGAGCTATTGATAAATGTTTGATAAGCCATGGCCGCATATATATACAAACCGTGTGGACGATGAGTTAAGAAGAGACTAGATTAGTAGAATCCTGGGTATAGTTAACATCCAGCCATTAATGAAAGGGCCCTTAAGTTATGTGCAAGTATACAAGGAAAGGTCACGTCAGATTTAATTAAGCCGTTTACTATTTTTTCCGACACAAAGTTAAGTCAATTTGTTAACTTGTTTCTCTACGTTCAAGTCAGAGTTCCCACCTAGTATTACTTTTCAAAGTCTCCCTCTAATACTATTTCTGAAGAGCCCGTTCATGGTTTAGTACTGGTCTACGGTTTCAAAACAAATGATGAATTCGTACTTATTGTCTAATCTCGCGATTTATCAAAGATCATGATTAAGCTACCGTACCAAAATTTTTTACAAAATTAATTTTGAAAAATACCACTATAGCTAGAGAATAACAAAAGAATTTTTTTTATATTTTTATTTTATTTTTGGGCAACAAAAGAGAAATTTAAGTGATGGAATCATGGAAGACCACGTATCTTGTTGCGCTGGATAGTTGTGTGTGTGTGTATTTTTTTTAATAAGGGAACCTCGTACGAACGTGTGACAATGGTACACGTGCGGTCCGGACGTGCGGTGGTCTGTGAATCTTCACAGCTCTTTGATTTTATTTTTTTTAATTGTAAAAGAAAGAGCAGTTAATTAGGCCATGCTCTTTCAGACTTTCACCATTACAGTCAACTAGATACAGTTAACACAAAGAAGCAATCATTAATGTTAGTAAAAATTCACAGAACCAAAGAACATGGGCTAACAATCTGAACAATACTATTTATTTACTGTAAATTAAAATTATAGAGACGTGTATAATAATTTTAACACGATGGGGGTTACCTCTTCTACTTTACAAAGCACTTACTTATAAATAGAGGATAGGTGGTGAGTAACTGACATTCATCAACCATCATTCACAGCACATTACTTATTTTACATCACAAAAAGCAAACTCGAAAAAAACAAAAAAAAATGGCGAATTACTCACGTATTCACATTCTCTTCTTCTTCTTTGTCTTCATCGCAAGTAAAAAGACCAAACTCACTCTCTATTCTTTTTGTCTCTCTCCTCTGTTTTTTTTTTTCTTCTAAATGAGAGTCATTTCAATACCTTGTTTATAGTTTCATCGCCCTGGACAACAACATGATTCTCATAAATAAAAATTTCGTTTTTTCTTCTTTGGATTTAACAAGTCTTTTGTTTGTTTGTGTGTTTTGAAATTGCAGGCGGCATTGCTGTTTCCGCCACTGTGTTCACTTTACAGAACAGTTGTCCTTACACCGTCTGGCCGGGAATTCTCTCCGGTAACGACAACACCCTCGGCGACGGCGGATTTCCCTTGACCCCTGGCGCTTCCGTACAGCTCACGGCTCCTGCGGGATGGTCAGGTCGCTTCTGGGCTCGTACCGGCTGCAACTTCGATGCCTCAGGCCACGGTAACTGCGTCACCGGAGACTGCGGCGGCGTTCTCAAATGTAACGGCGGCGGAGTTCCTCCAGTCACCCTGGCTGAGTTCACACTCGTTGGCGATGGCGGCAAGGATTTCTACGACGTGAGCCTAGTCGACGGTTACAATGTCGAGATGGGGATTAAACCACAAGGAGGCTCCGGTGATTGTCATTATGCCGGCTGCGTCGCCGATGTCAATGCGGTTTGCCCTAACGAGCTTCGGATCATGGATCCGCATACAGGAATTATCGCGGCGTGCAAAAGCGCCTGCGCAGCGTTTAATTCCGAGGAATTCTGTTGTACCGGTGCTCACGCGACGCCGCAAACTTGTTCTCCGACGCATTACTCGGCCATGTTTAAAAGCGCTTGCCCTGGCGCTTACAGTTACGCCTATGACGACGCCACCAGCACCTTCACTTGCTCCCGATCTAACTACTTGATCTCTTTCTGCCCCACCCGCTCTTAAACCGGAGCTCCTGTTGCTTCTCACGTTTCTTTTGCTATTATTTATTTACGGATATATTATTCATCTTCTTCCACTTTTTAGAATTTTTTTTATTATAATTATTCAGCTCTTACACTCACCTCATTTGCGTTGTTGCTTTGATTTGTATCTTTTGAATTTTTTAACCAAGTATTGATGTTTTGCATTACCTAGACTGCTATACACATCATAACATATGACATTTAGATAAACAAAGATGGATTAGATATTAGAAGATTTCTTTGATTCAGGTCATTGGTTCTTGATGGACTTTACTTACATGGAGGGAGCAATGACAACTAGTGTTTACCCAATAGACAGAGCTAAGCTACTATACTTGAAACTTATAAGCCGCGGAAAGGTTAAAACATGTGACCCGCGCAGATTCTGACAGATTTTGGTTAGCCTATTAAAGGAGATGTATAGCTGATGCAGTTAAAGATCATTGTTTCTGGGTTCTTTTGGTTTCCACCTGCTAGCCTTCTTCATTCCTGTTGCTGCCTGAACAAATCCCACAATTACCTGAAGCTCATCCATTTGCTGTACACCAGAGAACTGTCTCAAGCCTTGCCAAAAATCAGAAGACAAATTCATAAACATATCACGGCAATATCTTACCTGAGCCATGAAGTGTCTCTGAACAATGTCAGTCAGTTGCTCCTTTGTTGGATTAGGAAGAGCATCCACCTTCACAGAATGAGATCAATCACTCACCTGTTGTCAAAAACAATAACTCTCTTCTAACATAGGATTGCTCTTTTTTAACTTACGAGGTTATAATGTCGCCAATATCTCAGTAATGCAGGCATATCCAGTTTCGAAAGATCAACCTTCTGCACAGAAACCATTTTCCCAAATGAGTAACCAAAAAGCATTATAATGAAAATCCCACCAGTAGAAGAAGTCCGATGAACTACCATGTTCCCACGATGTGTTAAGCTCGAGTTTTTTGAGTGTGAGTCACAAGAAAAGGCCCTGCCGATTGCCTTTTGAGATAACCGCGATGATCTGTGTCCTCTCTGCTTCGACTTATGAGGCTTCAAAGTGTCCTCGGTTGCTGCAAAAGACAGCAGAGGATGATAAGAATTAAGAACCAATTCAAAAGACAAAACCTTTATTAGAATACTAGATAACAAAACAAAGAAAAGCTCCCAAGCATGCCACATTTATTAAAGAGTTTCGGACCATTCATTGACAGAGACAAGGAGAGCCTAACTTACTCATATCAGAGGGATTGTTCCACTGAGTATGCGCGACTTCAAGATCACTGTCTACTTCGTTCCCTGTAGGATGTTCAAGGACACTAAGCGCATTCCTCTGCAACTTCACTTCAATTCCATTAGTCAAAACCTGAAAATCAAAAGCAAGAGGACTAGATTTTTTTAAAAATTGCACTTGGTAAACAAGTAAAGTTTGAGACTTTTTGAGAAATGGGAATGCAGGGAGACAAGAACTGGTGGAACTTGATATCGAAATTAGTAAATTATTGATGCGTTGGGTTAAGAGGAAATTGTATAAGATACTGATTTGATTATAAAACTAGAGAAAAGGTGAAGATAGTAATGATCAAAAGAAGAAAACAAAAAGATCAGAGAGATTAGTGAGTATAAATTTTATAATAGTAAAACTAGGCAGCCTAATGAAATGGAGAACTTCTAAAAAGAGTTCACATCAAAACCAAAGGTAAGAAAAATCTGGCAGTGGATGAAAAAGACCCATCTGAAAAAGAAAGAACAATAACCCTAAATATATTAGTTTAAGTATAGTATATCTCAATTTAGTGACAAGTAAAACAAATCTAAAAGCCAGCTTGAACCCACAAAGATGAAGAATAAAAGGGATAAGAAGGATTCTTCAAAGAAAAACTGATTGAGAAAAGAGAAAAAGAAAAGTTAAAAATAAATATAAAAAGTGCAGATCGTTATGATGCAATTTATGAAATAAAGTTACGATTTTTTTTTTAAGAACAATCAATCCCATCTTCATTTTGCTTTTCTTTTGTTGCGTTAATCGACTCGGTAACATCGAACTATCATTGGTTAGTTGCATTATTAAGCTAATCAATGATTCGAGCTAGATTCTGGATGTACATGTCTCTTCAGCTAATAAAAAGCATACAAAGATGAAATTTTTAGACAAAACCAGGTAAGAAGAAGAAAAAGAGCGAAGGCAAATGATGCTAACCAGCCAGTGCCAACCACCGAGTCCGACGGCTTTTTTAACGACGCCTTGAAGACCGACGAGGACAGATTTGGTACGGTTGTTTCCGGTAACGACAACTTTGGTATGACGAGGTAAGACAGACAATTCCTCTTCGCTACTGCAATCGGCGAAGCAACTCTGAAGCTGAGAGAATCCACCTCCTCCATTGAGGATGCTTGAGTTGTTGTTCTGCGCAGCTTCCAGCATTTGTGTTTCTTTCTTCTCTGCCCCCCCTCCCTTTATTATTAGAAAACAGCAAAGAAGATCGAGTTTTTCACGATCTTACAAAGAGAAGCTCGTGCATTTGTGAGAGATTGAAAAAAAGAGAGAAATTGAGCTGAAGAAATTTAGGGTTTAGTTGATTTCGGTGTTGGAAGAGGAAGTGAGGGGCTAAAGACAGAGTAAGAGTGAGAGAAGAAAGAGGGAAAAAGCAGAGTATGAGTAAGAGAGAGAAGGAGAGAGAGATACAGAGGAGGGAAGGGAAGGGACGATAGCGACCGCCTTCCTATCTCAACCAATGATTAATCACCACGTGTCTTTTTCTGCTGCCACCATTTTGCACTGTGGAAATTGAGCGGTTTTTTTCATGGATATGTACCCAGAAAAAAAAAACATTTTTTATTTATTTGCTTTTACAGCTTTTTTTTTTTACCTTTTACACTCTAATATTAAGTATATATAAAAAAAAAATTTGGATTGAAAAAAAAAATAATCCGGACATAAAAGATATATATTTTCCTAGTTAAATATGACTAGTACACGTCCATCCTGTATATATATCATCCAACTTTATTAAACACATTCAGAGGGATGGGGATAGAGTAAATATCCTTTGGGTAAATGAAAACAATTTGGGAAGTAAGTTTGTATTGGAATCTGAGTAATTGGTGCTTTGACAAAGGGTTTTAATTGGATACTTATCAAACAAAAAAAAAAAGTGATAACGAGGGCCACACTTGTTAATTTTTATTTTTTGTTGTTGTTGTATAATGTAACACACGCGATCGACGTGAATCTGAATGGTTGACTGGTTTTTTTCAAAATATTATACTAGTAGTATCAAAGTCAGGCATAATTGGGTCCATGTAATTCATTCGTCTGATTTTACTACCATACCCCCCACTTCCTCTCCCCGACCTCTCTCACAATTGGAATTTTTTGAATTTGAATCACACCACCGGTCTCTCTCTCTATTAAATTGATTATACTTCATCGTATACTTGTCCCATATAAGAATAACATTTTAGCTAAACTAGAAAATAAAAAAAGAGAGAGGCTATGGAGTGATTCTTACGACATAACACGTTAGTAAGTTTGAATGTATCAAAACCAACGAAATATAGTAGTACTAGTTTCGAGTTTTACACGGTTTAAATAAAAAAAGAGTTAACATGGATGTAATCCAAAAAGCAAAACATATTTCAGAAAAAAAAGTCTTTATTTTGGGCCTAAAAAGCCAAATTGCTGTTTCATGCAATGCACACTAACTAATCTTAAAATGTATCACGTCATCCACTTAAGTGTTTATCCTAATTTTTAGCAACGCGTCCTTCACTTAATTATACATACAACTGTTAATGGTGCTTATGCATTTTTTTTTCTTTTTTTTTTTTCTGTAAGGCAATTAGTTTGTGCATATTTTTCCATGGTTACTGGTTTTTAAAATTTTTAATTTTATATACAATTATATCTAGAGTACTATTTTGTATCTTTGGGCGTTACAATTTCAGTAGATATTGATGACTTAATGGCTAACGCATATATAGTTCTAACATCTCATAGATTATTACAAAAGTATATATATATATAAAATATGATTCAAAATAGATCTAACACATAATCTACCTATTGTCATTTGTCACTAGTGCTAGAAACTTAAGCTGATTTTAAGATTTTAACTGATGATTTATGATTAATAACAAAATAATTAAGGACATTTCTGTTGCCTAAACAACAAGGTCGTTGTAGTATAGTGGTAAGTATTCCCGCCTGTCACGCGGGTGACCCGGGTTCGATCCCCGGCAGCGGCGTTTCTTTTTTTTCCCTGTGTCATTGAACCCTCTGATTGAATCCAAGCCACTAAATTTTATTTTATTTTGATCCTAGACACATATTGATTACACGGAGCTCTGAACTAGTCTGGGAAGATGAAAACGTCATAATCAAAGGATATTACAGAAATAAATGAATTAATTACATCTACACTAGCAGTCTAGCTCAGAGCTGTACCCTCGTTATTAGTCACTGTTTATTTATTTAATTATTTTGGTAAAAAATAGTCAAGAGTTTGAATATGTTTTTTGATTAAGGTTGTAAAGTTGTATAGTGAAATTGCATTTTCGTTTGGAAGATCATAATATATCTCATAACTATAGGCCACCGTGCTAGCCCTGGCTGTGCGACGTACCAGTCAAAAACTCAAAACTCAAATTTCCTCAAGTATTCAGTGAAACTACTTTTGAAACATTCATTGTTAGAAGTAATCCAATAGATACTAAACTAGAGCTTCAAATCAAGTTAAGAAAGTAGGAAGAAGTTGGGAGGGGGTTAAGAAAGTAAACTGCATGGGGTTTTTTTTTATTAACATACAACTAATCAAGACAAAAGTGGTCAAAATTTCGTTGTCTTAAAGTGAGATTTGTTGTAATGCCAAGAATTTTAATTTTTAAAATATAGTATTAAGGACATCATTATTATGTTATAATCCGTTTCCATCTTATATTATAAAACTGAATTAAAAACCAATCAAATGGTGTGTTTTCCGGTCACACAAGGAAGGGACCCACACTGAATAAAGCGGTCCCACACTGTCTCCTCCTTTCTCTTCTCTCTGTATAAATTATTAACGTACATACACACTGCTACGACGACTATACACACACACACGCTACTACACCCACACGGTCTTATCCTCTACACTTATTCCCACACATCCTTATATACACTTTACTCAATCTCACCCTTAAAAAACTACGATGCTACACGTGGACGATTCTTAGAACAAGAACAGTGATTCTTAATGTGAACTAACCGTACTTGAACACACGACCCAGTTTTTTTTGTTTTTTTTTTACATGAAAGAAAAAAGGAAAAAAAAAAAGGAAGAAAGAGAGATTCTTCTTCTTCGATTCCAGCGAAGGAAAAGCGTATTCCTCGTGAGCACTAACTTCTCACTCCTCTTCTTCTTCTTCTTCTTCAGTCTGTGTTCACACATTCTCCTTCACCCACCCATCTAAAGAAAGCTCTCTCTCTCTCTCTCGGAGATTTCGAGGGTGTGGTTGGTTTTCCGATGACGTCCGATGGTGCTACGTCGACATCAGCAGCTGCGGCGGCGGCGGCTGCTGCTGCGGCGAGGAGGAAGCCTTCGTGGAGAGAGAGGGAGAATAATAGGAGGAGAGAGAGACGGAGAAGAGCTGTTGCTGCCAAGATATACACTGGTCTTAGAGCTCAAGGCGATTATAATCTGCCTAAACATTGTGATAATAATGAGGTTCTTAAGGCTCTCTGTACTGAAGCTGGTTGGGTTGTTGAAGAAGACGGTACTACTTATCGTAAGGTTAGATTTCTTTTCTTTTCTTTCAGATCTGACCTCTTCTTTCTTTATGTTAATACATGTTTCCTTCTGAATTCGTCGATTTTTTTTAATCGGGTTTGAATCTGTGTGTTCTCTGTCCTGCCAAAAAAAACATTTAGCTAGATTTTTCAAACATGGATCTAACTTGTTCTCAAAATGTAATTAGAATTTATCTTACTAATTTTAGAGTGATGTGTGCTTTTGAATCATATTTAGAACTCTCCCCCAATTAGGACTTTCTGATGATCCAAATCGTCAACATTCTTGAGGCTATTATTATTAGTATGCATAGATGTTTGCATTGAGTTTAATTGGTTATATTTGTTGTTGTTGTTGTGGTTGGAGCATCAGGGATGCAAGCCTCTAGCTGGTGAGATAGCTGGTACTTCATCTCGAGTAACGCCTTACTCATCTCAGAACCACAGCCCTCTTTCATCGGCCTTTCAAAGTCCAATCCCGTCTTACCAAGCCAGCCCGTCTTCCTCATCTTTCCCGAGTCCGTCTCGTGGTGAACCAAACAATAACATCTCATCTACCTACTTCCCCTTCCTCAGAAATGGTGGCATTCCTTCCTCTCTTCCTTCCCTCAGAATCTCTAACAGTTGCCCTGTTACCCCACCTGTCTCTTCTCCTACTTCCAAGAATCCTAAACCCTTGCCCCCCAACTGGGAATCTATTGCCAAGCAGTCCATGGCCATGGCTTCTTTTAACTACCCTTTCTATGCTGTTTCTGCACCTGCTAGTCCCACTCATCGCCAGTTTCATACCCCCGCTACTATACCTGAATGTGATGAGTCTGACTCTTCCACTGTTGATTCTGGTCATTGGATAAGCTTTCAGAAGTTTGCACAACAGCAGCCTTTCTCTGCCTCCATGGTCCCAACTTCTCCTACTTTCAACCTTGTGAAACCCGCGCCTCAGCAGATGTCTCCAAATACTGCTGCTTTCCAAGAGATTGGTCAAAGCTCTGACTTTAAATTTGATAATAGCCAAGTTAAACCGTGGGAAGGAGAGAGGATACATGATGTGGGTATGGAGGATCTTGAGCTTACACTTGGAAATGGCAAGGCTCGTGGTTGACATGAACAACTATGCAAACTCAAATAGCATGTGGGATGGAATTATGAGAAACCAATCCTCCTGAGTGAATCTTCTAGGTTTTTGGATCTCTATGGAATCTCATACGTTCCTCACTTACTTTCCAAATATGCTGCTCCATGGAAGCATTGGAGTGTTAAGAGTGGTTTCTTCAATTCATAAATTTGGTTTCATAAGCATTATTTGTAGATAAAATATCTTAAGATGTATGATTCTGCTCCCTTACAAATTTTACATTAATTTAGTGGCTTATTACTGTTTTGTGTCTTGTCATGTATCTCAAGCCTATGCTCTTAGCATCAAGATCCAAACTTTGCAGAACTTATGCTTTTACAAACTGTTAAATTCTTTATTCTCTGCAATCAATCTTTCTGTCAAACACTAACCCATATCATCAAATAACTAGTTAGACACAGCTAGCTAGAGGAAAAACACAATACACAATGCTACATTCCATAATGAATACAAACACTGGTCACTCAAGAATAATCCCATCTCTGTTACTGATCAAACAAGTTATGGAGAAGGCAGATCCAGTTCAGAGTCCATCTCAAGGCCTCTCAGCTCTTTCTCAGCCTCAGCATTACATTCTTGGTATCTGAAACAAGCTGTGAGATGATCATTCACAATGCCAGAGGCCTGCAAGAAGGAATAGATAACAGTAGGACCAACGCATCGAAACCCTCTCTGCATCATATCTTTGCTTATGTACTCTGCCTTTGGGGACTTAACAGGTACTTGACGACCATAACGATAGCCATTTCTTAAGGGCTCGTGGTTCACAAATCTCCAACAATAGTTGCTAAATGATCCAAATTCTTGCTTGACCTGTTTTCAATTGACAAGGAAAGCTGAGTCAGCAAGTCCTCAAGACAGAACATCCACAATTTTCTTACAGAAAACACACAGTACAAACCTTGAGAACTGATTTTGCGTTCTCAACAATTGCTCGCAGCTTTTGTTCGGAAAGAATTAGACACCCATTCACTCTGAGAGACATCAACCTCTTCTCTGTGAATTGTGATATAGCTAAAGGATCAAACTCTTCAAATAGCTTCCTGCAAGACGAAACCAAAACCTTTTACTACATTACACCAAACCAAAACACAAAAGAGTTCAAGCATATATATATATTAATTTACCTAAAGTCATTTCTTTTGAGTAGGATAGAAGGCCAGCTTAACTCAGCCAATGCTTGCGAGAAGACAAGGAGCTCGAAGAGTTTCTTGTCGTCGTCACGAACTGGAACACCCCATTCCTCGTCGTGGAACAACACGTAGATCGGGTCTGTTCATCAATCACCATCATTATGAAGTATTAATTAACCGAAAAACTTATATATCCATCAATCTCCAACAATTCTTTTTTTTTTTTGTCTTTACTTGTCCAACTACTACAAGACCAAGTGCAATAAATGTGTTGGTGACATGTACGAAAACTGATTGTTACCCCTTTATAAACTTTTTAACACAGACGTATAATAAAAAAAAGAAATGGTTATCGTAAACCATAAAAAGACATTCACATGGCTTCAAATTGTAAAGTCGATAGAGATATTTTTAGTTTTTTGGGGGCCAAAACAGAAGAAATTGGGTAAGTATCGTTTAATTCTTTGCAGATTCATTAAATGCGCGACAAGGACAACAAACTCCTCTCTACCCAAAATTGGGTTAGAACATTTCATTTCTAACATTAAAACCAAAAAGCACATTTTATTTCCAATACTTGACAGAAAAAAAAAGACATTTTAAAAGAAAGAAAAACAAAAAAAAAAACATCATCCCCTCGTTATTCACGAAATTCTAATTTTTTGTTTTTGTTTTAAACAGTGTTTTTGTTTTTCTCAATAACAAAAAAAAGGAGAAAAATGTGTAAATTTAAATTAAAGTTAAATGAGGCAAAGAGGGAAAAAAAATAAATAAAGTTGTCAGAGAGAGAGAGAGAGAGAGAGAGAGAGAGAGAGAGAGAGAGAGAGAGAGAGAGAGAGAGAGAGAGAGAGAGTAGAGTA